AGAAATAAATATTTAAATAATTATTTATTATAAATATAATATATAAATATTATAAATTTATTATTTATTTTAGTTTTTTTAAATTAATCTTATTAATTAGAATAATTAGCATTTTTTATATAATTACTTATTCTAATTAAATTAGTTTAAAACTAATAATTTCAAATTAGATTAGATTTAGATTCAAATTAGATTTAATTCAAAAACTATAAAATAATATTTGTTAATAACTTTTATTTTTATTAAGATAATTATATTTTTATTTTAAATATAATTATTTAAAATATAATTGTATATATATTCATAAATTTTAATTAATAATAAATAAAAAGTAATAATTTTTAAACTAATTAAAATATTTTAAATTAGATTTAATTTAAATTCAATTTGAAATATATATTTTTTTTAGCTCTATAATATTTTAACACTAGTATAGAGAATTAGAATATTGCTTCTTATTTTATTTTACAATATTTTTTTCTCTTTTCTAACCTCTTATTTTTTGAATTATAGCAATTTCAGTAAAAATTGGTATAGTATCTAGATTCTCCTCTTTTATTATTATTTGTCTCTTTGTTTAATTTCCTCTTCCAATCCATGTTCATATTTGTAAGCTAATTCCATAATTAGTGAAAAACATGTAACAGTACTACAAGTATTCTATATGGCAAATTACAGTACTTTGTTTTGAATCAATGCAGCATTTTTTTATTGCATTATGAATTTTAGTTCACTGAGACATGTACACATAATTTATTCCAAAATATAATTAACACTACAGATTCAATAATTTTAATTTTCATTAGTACATTATAAAAAAATCTAACAAATACTGATATAAATGTATTAGTTAATAAGTGCTTACGCTCTAATACATCAACTCTTTATAACGAACTGACGGCTCTGTTAGTAAAAAAAAAGTTAGTTATAAAATCACTATGTTTTCTATAGAAAACACCACTCTTTCTATAACGAACTAATACATTAAAAATATAAGGTTTGTTATATCCAGAGTTCGTTATAAAGAGGTTCGTTATAGAGAATGTATTGCTAAATTAAGATATGAGATAATTATAGAAATAAGTACAGTACCATTTTCTGAGGTATAAGGATCCCATTTACCTATCGGTAATAGCATAACGATATGGTCTAAACCTAGATGTTGTTAACACACATTTATTTATCGCGAGGATGATCCTTCGTGAATATGTCTTTTTGCTAAGAGTATTAATGTTAATATTTTGCCGGGAAAATAGTATAAAATTTGACAAAACGCCAAAATGTACTTTTACTGAGAATATAGTTTCTTTGCATAGTTTTTAACAGTTACTGAAGCTTTAGATTCAGGGTAAAAAAAATGAATGAAACCACTCAACGAGACAAGTTTCTGAGCTGAATTATGCATCAATTTTTGTTCCCGCAATATTATGTGAAAAAAACCACAACTTAGCTCCTGACTCTTAGATCTCACCATAAAGCTCTACATTCTTCTCGATCCTACAATTACTAGTGTTCAAAACCACCCTAAATTAGAAGCCGACTTGGCCAGCCATTGGTGTGTCTCGAACCAGCTCGGCCATCTACTGTCCACTTAGATGTTGAAGCCAATGACTGTGCACATACGAATCTTTCAGCTTAGTAGCTCAGTTCCGGCCCAGCCATCCATTGAAATATTCAAACTGATTAGCTGTCAAATTCACAAAGCCGGCTGGCTAGCCAGCCAGCCGTTAAATGGTTACGAAGACTAGAATAAACTCCAGGAATAGTTATAGTAATACATCTCTAAATCTGAATTTAACTAATAAACCTGAATTTTTCAAATTTTTTACTAGCCCAACCACTTCGTTATGCAGTCAAAACTCGTTATAGTGAAGGTGTTCGGACTATTAGTAAAAAAATTTTAAGAATTCGTTATATTAATAACTCACTATATCGAGAGGAATTATTAGATATTGTTTTTGAGTTCAACTTCACTATATTGAGAGTTTAATTAGTCTTCACTATGACAAGAGTGACTTGTATCCAGGTTTGACTGTAATGTACACATAGTCCAGGAATAATATAGTAGTTCGTTTTACTTTTTTTCTGCTAAAAGTGGGTCAGCTTTCATTATTGCGCCAAATTCTTGTGTGTAGGATTTCTAACGGTAATAGACAAATTGCACTTTGCGGTTATCTTCGTGCAATTTACCCCTAATGCCTGAAGCTAACTTTGATCATCCTGATATACATGTATATATATCGATTCCAAAAATCACTGTTCCATATATCCGAATCCATTTATCAATTCAGTAATAATAAAAGTGACTCAGCATCTTTTGATTGTTTAAAATTTGCTGAACAGAGAATAAAAGATCATCGGACTACAGCCGTCATTCTTTCAGTGCTATTAACACGTATTTTGATCTATACAGCGATATTTTGACTTAAATTTAAACGTACAAAAATATTATGTCTTAATTTCTGTTCGTATCCCGTAAATTTTACGTATGTTCATTCCCTTGCAAGAATCTTGTGGCTCCGTGCATACTTTCTTAAGTTTACCAGATAAAGCCTTAGGTAACGAGATATCTATGCAATCCAACTTACAACTGTCACCATATTCAAACATCGATATCAATCAATATTTCGTGTGTCTCGTTTACTTGCAATTCTCAGAATATTTTGTTGAGATATAATTTTTTATTTCTATTTCTCTATGAATTCTGACGATCCTAACACGAGTTTAGATACTCGAGTTTTCACAACGCCTTCGAATAGTCCGCATCCAAATATCAGAAATATCTCAACAATTATCTTGATCCGAAAATTTAAAAAATTTTCCAGTATTCTTTTTTTCGAATAAAGCTTCAAATCTTTGATTTATGAGAGTCTCTCTTGATTTACTAACAATCTTTGCTGAATCCTTTTTTTATCATATTAAGTCTATTGAAACTTTTGATGTTCCTGATGTTACCCCAATACACCTCCGCAGGCTACCGTCTTGAATTTTAATCAGCCCCCGTCGAAACACTATAGCAAAAATAAGTAGAAAATTTTTTCCAAAATACCAGATAATATTTTTAACCCATTATCATCTCTAATATGGAGTTGCGTGGCTAACCTATTAATAATCTATGTTCTACCTCAATTTAAAGAGTAAAGGAAGCTCCCCTTTCTTTTAATCCATGAATTGAACATTCTTTAGTGCTCCTTTGATCAAAAAGAAAATAATTTTCTAGTTTCGTAATATTTGTACGCCTCGCTCTGTGTATCGCCGAGTCCAAAAATCGGCCCAGTATTATTTCCTTTTTATTATACTAAAACGAGCCTCGCATTTGACTTCGAGTATTTCTGATATGATTCATAAAAATATTTAAAAACACTTTGCTACCTCCCGAAAGTTACCGCAGCTACTCTTTCGATAGTGTCGAATATTTTTTATTAAACCATCTTCGATATACAGCGAACTCCAGTATTTCTTGTCTTATATTCGTTATGTTTTTATTTTTATAGCCGTCTATCTCATGTATAATTTTATTGCCAAATGGGACAAATGGGATTTGATTTGCGATAGGATGTAGTATTAATAGATTTATCAAGTTTCGAAAATTACAAATATAATAAATATCATGCACATACACATACATAAAATAAACTTTCTGAAAAACCATCATACGTATTAATATCCCATACTCGTATCAATATTCCATATCCGTCGTATTGACGTTAATGTTCCAAACCCATAAAGAATATATATGAAGCAAAGATTTGCACGATACATGCACATGTTACGTATCGGTATACTGAAAAAAACTGATACATGAACAGTATATATAAACTGGTGTTACACGTAAATTAATATGCTTAATTGCATCAATAATGATAATACGTACATATTATTATTATTACAATATTCTGATACGTAATTGTATTCCAGGTCCGAGGTTATGTTATTTTTTCTTGCTGATTGAAAGCATTGAATTCCTGACTTTTTAATGCTTTCTCGCTCGATAAAAGACAGAAATATCAACAGATTCACTGACATTTCCAATAAGGAACTCTTGCCGTCTATCATACAATTTATTAGCCAATAACAAGATACGATTTCTGCCTTTCGACAAACTGACCAATCAGAATGTCAGCTGTAATCTCCAGGAGAATCTTTTTCACAACAAATAATACACACACACCTGAGTATAAATAATATTTTTGTTGTCCCTCTTGGTGACAAAGCGGTGGTAAGAAAAAAGCTTTTGTGGATTTGCCCGGCTTCTGGTACTCCTGAAAAAGTTTCACTTGTGTCAACTGGCTTATAGGTTAGTTAGTTTTGTATATTTTGATAGCTTGTGGGACGACAGAGCATCTGCAAATTCGCATTCCTGAGGGATAGAACCAAAAGCATTCGGATATAGTAAATATTGATATTTGAACGACGAATAATAAGCTACCGAGGTTTCATTGGACTTTTGTATTTTGCAATACCCCAAATACATTGTTTCTTTTTTGTATATTGGTCGTGTTGTATCTTGGTCGTGTCCTTCAGGCTTGGCGTGGAGATATATTTTGTATGTACAGGACAGGACTAAAGTTTATTATTGCATATATTTTCACTTTCTAACCTTGAATGATAAGTTATTTCTGGCATTAAGGCATCTAACAAAGGTGAGAAAAATATTTTTTTCATGTTTGATTTTTGAAGGAAAAACCAATAATAATTCAGGGGAACAATATGCGAAATTAATAAGAATAATTTGGGGCACATTTCAATTACGAGACTTCTAGCATAATGAAGAAAAATAACATATAAATTAAAAACTATAAATTGAAACTACAAATGCTTTATTGACGCGTCTTTTGTTAAATCTTACCAACTCTCAAAATGTTCCAGCTCAATTTATCACTTTGGGAGGGGAATATCAGTTCTTTTTTAATTCTTCATAAATCCTGAATCCGTTCATTATTCAATATAATTAATAATCTTTGATTAAAAATTTATTTTCCACAGCTTCTAAATCAAAAATGGCCAAAACGAAAATCACACAAAAACTCAGCAGTACCTACGGTTCTGAAAGACGTATATCGGTGATTTCGAAATCAGCCTCGATTAATAGCAACGGTGTCGTTAACGGCGGTGACCTTGATCGAGATAATTTATCAAGAATGAAAGCACAAACTGAAGCTGTATGTCTATCTTTTTTAATCATGGACTCGTTTGCCTCAATAGTATTAAGTTATTTTATTGGCTCATTTAATACTAAAAAAATTCATATTTTTTTTTACATCAATAAAATAAGGCTGCAGATGTTTTTGAACAAGCAGCGAATAATTGGAAAAAAGCCAATCAACAGATACTCTCATGGCAGAGCGTAGTGTCTAATGAGCATCCTATATTTGCGATGCGTATTCCGACGCATAATAGTCATGATTCAGAAGGCACGAGCGAAGAAGTCTTATCAGAACAGGAAAATGAGTATGAAGGATCCCAAATGAATATTAATAGCGATGGAGAAACTGATGATGGCGACAATGATGATGAAACATTTCCAGGTCCTTCTAAATCAAAAAGAAATAAAGGAAAGAGCACGGATCTTGGAGCAAAGAAATCCTCGTCATTGCCTAATAATAAGAGTCACAAACGAACCGGAGGACACAATGCTCTTCCAAAGCAATCAAAGAAGCCAAAATATAAGAACGACGCGACATTTGCAAAGACAATAAAAAAAGAGATGGTTCAAATGATCACCGCCACCAAATCGGCAGAACCGGAAATCGCCATGTCTCCTGTCGCCGATAATTTTGAAGATCCGGAAATATTTGAATCCTTACCTGAAATCAGGACACCAAAGGTTCCAAAGAATGCGTATTTGTATTTCGTGTCTCAGCGATTTGGAGAAGTGAAAGCGGAATTTCCACAACTTAAAATGGGAGAAGTTAATGGAAAAGTAGCTGAAATATGGAAAAATTTATCAGAAGAAGAGAAAGAGGTAAGTGAAGAACATTGAAATTTAAATTCTTAAATATTTATAAAAAATCCAACACCATTTCTAAAACCATCTCATTTTTATAAGAGTATCCTAGTAGAATTCCAGGCTCAACAAAGGAAATACGGTATTGATGGAATAGTAACGCCTTCAACACCAAAGGCATCACGTAAAATGTCGACTCCTGAATCTTCAAAATCAGCCGTTGCCTCTTACACGCCATCAAAATTCTCAACACCGACTCGTTCACCGAAAAAACCCAACTCCATCTTAAAAAAGATTGAATCAAATTCACAAAAATTGCTATTCGATCCTTTGAATGCATCATCACTATCGTCGACACCTTCTTCTGCTGCTTCTACACCGACTAAACCAAAGACTCACGTAAAATACAAAGATATGGAAATCAAAGATGATAATGATGACGATAATAATGATAATTATAATAATAATGATGATATTGATAGTATTAATGATGATAATGATGATGATAATAATAATACACCACATGGGAAAAGAGCTCGTCGTGAGTCTGTTGACGAAAAAAGAAATTATCATAAAGAATCAATTAAAGGAAATAATGTCACTACTCCTGACCGAAATTCATCACCATCACCTCCTGCCACAAGTTTCGATAACCAAAACGGTTTTGATGACGAAGAAGTACCCTGGGTTTTGCCTATTGTTGGAACACCTACGTCATTTGGTTTGAGTCCATTTCGTAGACGAAAAATTCGAAAGAGTAGCAGCAGCAACAGTAGCAGAATTAGTGATGATCATTATTACGATCAATAACGCATTTTATTTTCAATATTAAATATTTGTGTGATCATTAATAGAATAAGAAAAGCGGATTTAAATACTTTGTTCTGACATCATCGATACTAATCAACAACAAGTAAAATTCTGTACATATTTTTTTCCACAATGATTCGTATGTACATGTATATTTTTTCTATTTTTATCTAATTCAATGTACATGTTTAAATTTTTGATAGGTTTCCTCTATTAATTTTTAAAACAGAGATTCCATTTTCCATATTTTCCATTTAATGCAAGTTGTTTGATTAACAATCAATATATTCTAATTTGACAGGAAGGAGTACTGTATAGTGATTTTTTTAATACATGTCTATAATAGCGATATCGGATTAGATAATCCAGATGTAATCCATAGTTACACAGGAACCAATGACTATCAATCCAAGCAATGAATCAACCATAATACGTACATACCAAATAATTTTACTTTAAATATTATATTTTCTAGGTTGCCTGCTTTTTTTTCGTAATAAATATTTGCTACCACCAAATAGACTTACAAATATCCTGGTAACAGCAATAAAAAATGTATTACTTACTTTGATTTGTAAATTTATTTGTTTTTGAATCCACATATTAATCCATGCAAAAATATTTTTTTGCATAAACAGAAAACCCGATATTTTAGAAATAAAAAAGCCATTTCTCTTGGTTCGCTTATTAAACAGCAACGTAGTAAAAAAAAACGTTTTAAGAAATTACTTTGTTTAGTCAGAATACTTCTATTTTGCGTATACAAATGAAATACATGTATTTGGTTGAGAAATGACAAAAATACACATTTCAAACTGTAGATATCTATACATTTTGCCAGCACGATAAAATACAGTCATATTCCCCCACATGATTGGGCCAGAAAAATCCGGTTAAGTGATTGCTCTTTTAATATGAACATTAATCCTCAAAATTGTGTCCTTCTATGAAGGTTGTTATATAGAGATACAGTGCAGGACACTTAAAGATGCCAATAAAATTAGTCATCTTTAAAGCAAAGGATCTTTACACAAAGGTCATACAAAAAAAGGGGGCCGATATTTTGTAGCTAGACCTACAAAATAGCGATCTCCTTTTTTTTTGTATAATCTTTGTATAAAAGCTCCTTTGCTTTAAAGATGACTAATTTTAAGTGTCCTGCACTGTATAAAAAACAGCTAGCTATTTAAAGCATATCATTATGGAATAAAAATTTTGAAATTATAAAAAATGCATGGAAATTATATTCAGTCGTTACAAAAAGCACGTATTTTAATATTGGATTTTTTTCTTGGCACAAGAAATATTGTCTGTATGAGAATATTTCTATTGATATTAAAAGGTTATATATACAATAGTATCGTTTGAGAAGTCTAAAGAACGTATGTTTTTATAAGAATAAAGAAATTAAGTCAATTAAATAAATGGCTTGAGTGACTTACATGAAAATAGTATGGAAAAAATATATCTTTAATCTTATATAGCTAAACGATTAAAGATTAAAATCAAACACATAGCAGCTAAATAAAATATTTCAAATATAAATTATTCTTTAGAAAACATTAAATGGATTATAAAAGAATATTAAATATATATATATTTTAGAGAATGACACTGAGATTAAGGTTACTGACTTATCCCTCTCGTCATAATATCTTCAATAACATCGAACATATCGTCGCTCTCAGTTTCGAAATACGCATATGCAAAACATTTTAAAGCGGTATGAATATCTCGACCGGTTCCTTTTCCAGCCCTGTAACAAAAACCGAGTCTAAAAAACGCATATGGGTTTCTAGCTGCAGCCTTCAGATACCATTTTACCGCCTTGATTGGATCTTTGTGGCCTCCAGACGGGAAACACTCATCATAATTTTCTGCGATTCGCGTTTGGGCATACGCATGGCCACTTTCTGCTGCCTTCATGAAATATTCAAATGCTTTTTTGTCATCTCTCACGCACCCGATTCCCCTAGAGTAACAGAACCCCAGTGCATTTTGTCCGGCTCGATTGTTGTTATCGGCGGATTGCTGATACCAATAGACACCTTTCTCTGGATCCTTTTCTGTCCCAATTGCGAGCTCATAGCATTGACCGAGAAAAAATTGTGCATAGCTATCGTTTTTTTCTGCTGATTCCTTATAACATTGAAAACCAAGTTTGAGATTGTGTTCTATTTTTGTTCTGTGTTGATAGAAAAATCCTAATAACGTTGTGTATTGGTAGTTTCCATGAGAACTTTTTAAAAAGCTGATGATTTCGCAATGATCTTTTGCTGTAGAAGCATCAAGATCGAAAAAAATGTTCATCATCCCGTTTCCTTCGCCAAACGATTTTTGAAAAATGTCCAATAATCCATCTATTTTTGTGATAATTGATTTATCAATGACAACTTTTTGTTGAAAATAAGATTTGGCTCTTTTTAATAATACTCGATAGCTTTATGATAAATAAACCAAACTATATATTATTACCTTTGGGAGAATCTTTTTCATCCATAACTGGAATTATATTTGGCGTAAAAGTGAATTTTGGCCAAAAGTTGTCTGTTTTGTTACATGTATAATGATGATCAATGAAACTGATTTACAAATTGATTAGACGTTTATTTGTTATTATTCTTACATACAGTACACATACAGCACATAGCGTTAGGAAAATATCGATATAAAAATCATCTTGCACAGCACATCAAACAAATAATTTATAGCGATAGTTTTAAACCGATATTTTTAGTTGGCGCACGATGATTCAGAATAAAAATTCAAATATCGAATACTATAATTTCTATTTTATAGGCGGATTATGATTGCGTTCTAATGAAGTCTCGTGATCGTAAATCCGCTTGACGCGTGGGTTCAGGTATCCGATACCGACAACACTTAAGCACTAGTTGTATAGCAGTATCGAGGCTAATACGATGTCCCACGGAAACAAAGATCGGATTTGTCGTACTATCTAGACTTCTAACCGCCTAAAATCAATCAATCAGTTAATCTCTATCAATTCTAATTTCACAAATCCAAAAACCAAAATAAAAAAGAAAACCAACCGCTCCCCAATACTGCCCCGAGTCACCTCGCAAATGATAAACATCTCCACCCTTCACCAACAAAACTTTACACTGTTTCTTTACATGTACCATTGTCAATTGTTCACCATCATTATCTATCTGAAGAAAATTCTTGCTGACGCCAATCGTGGGCACGTTTACCAGCACACCTAAATGACAAGCTAATCCGAATCGACGTGGATGGAGAATTCCGTTTCCGTCTACAAAAATCACTTTGGGGTAGATTTCTGGTTTCGTGATTTTTAGCGTAGAAATTAGGTCAACTAGTGGCTTGACTTCCCGAAAAGCTAGAAAGCCGGGTACATATGGAAGTTCTAGTTTTACTGATTTATAATCTTCGTATATGACCTGGAATTTAAAAGGAATTCTGATTATATAAT